AAGACCTTCTCTCCGGTATCCACCAATGATGCTTTTAGAGTGGTAATGGCTTTAGTTGCATAGTTTGATCTTAATCTTCACTAGATGGATGTTAAGACTGCATTCTTAAATGGCAATTTGTATGAAGAAGTCTATATGACACAACCTGATGGTTTTGTTGAATTTGATAAAAAACATCTAGTGTACAGATTGAAGATATCCATTTATGGGCTAAAACAGACCTCTAGGCAGTGGTATTTAAAGTTTGATGAAGTTATCACCTCGCTTGATTTTATTGACAATGTCTCAGATTAGTGTATCTATTAGAAGTTTGATAGGAATAATTTTACCATTCTTGTTCTTTATGTTGATGATATCTTGTTAGCCTACAATTCAATGGATTTCCTCAATGAGATAAAAGCACCTATTGTCTAGCCATTTTGACATGAAGGACATGGGTGAAGCCTCCTTTGTTCTTGGGATACAGATTCATCGTGATAGATCTCGTGGTATTCTTGGTTTATCACAGACTACCTATATTGAGTGGGTACTTAAGAAATTCAAAATGAATTCATGTTCTCCCTCACTTGCTCCTGTACAGAAAGGTGAACTATTGTCAGAGTTACAGTATCCCAAGGATGATAAGAAGAGGGCTGAAATGAGAAAGATACCATACGCTTTTGCTGTTGGCAGCCTTATATATGTTCAAGTGTGTAATCGACCAGATATAGCCTGTGCCATTGGAGTGCTGGGTCGATACTTAAATGATCCAAGTCCGGATCATTAGAAGGCTGCTAAGAAAGTTATGAGGTATCTTCAAGGTACAAAGAATTATATGTTGACCTATAAAAGGTCAAATTCTCTTGAGGTTGTTGGGTATTCTGATTATGATTTTAAGAGATCAGAAGATCATGTTGGCTTTTCAAATTCTGATTTTGCCTCCTATCTAGATGATCGTAGGTCTATGACTGGCTATATTTTCATGTTGTCTGGAGGAGCTGTTTTTTGAAAAAGTGTGAAACAGATACTTATAGCAGTCTCATCTATGAAAGCTAAGTATATTGCTTGTTTTGAGACTACACGTCAAGCTATATGGCTAAGGAAGTTGATATCTGGCATGCACTTAATTAAGTTAATATCACATCCTCTAACCATTTATTGTGATAACAAATCTGCTGTATACTATGCTAATAACCACAGAAATTCCAGTCATACAAAGTATTTTGATATCAAACTTATGTTTGTGAAAGATAAAATTATTGAGTCTGAAACTTGTGAGGTACACATTCCTAGCACGTAGATGCTTGTAGATCTATTGACCAAGGGCTAACCTATAGAAGTTTTTCAAAATCATATAACTTGTATGGGTATTGTGAATTCTTTTGATGCCCTAGTTTAGTAGGAGTTTGAGACTCTTTTGTGTTGTAATTTCTCTTTAGGCTTTGTGTTCTTCTGTGAGTTATGTTCAGTTTAGTTAGATGCGTTTATATCATTTGTATTCCTCTAGGATGTAATGATTTTGTCGTGGTATGCTATGCATGCCACTTGTTTCCCCATAGAAATAAGTGATTTATGTTGTTATCTTATTGAGCTATGTTGGAATAAAAATTTTATATTTTATTCAGATTATGAGACATTATATCACTTATTTCCTCATAGGATCCAGTGATTTTGTGGAGTTTCATTTCTTGAATTTTGTTTGTGGCTTATTTATACAACTTGCTTAATTAATGCAATCCAAGTGGGAGATTGTTGGAATATTTATATGGATTTACATTAATTAATAAGCCCAAACAAATTAGTCCTTATGATCTTGTGTGGACCGTGATAGGTGGACCACACAAGTGAGCCCAATTGGCAGAGGCCCAACCTACAACTCAGTAGCCGTCAATTATTTTCTATCTCTTGACTGACTGAGTCAAAGATAATAGAAAATAATTATTTAATTATTTCATAAAGCGTTACTGATCTGATCCTTATAAGTCGATCAGTCGATAACCACTAAATACACGATACATTTTCTTTTACTTCATTATCTTTGCACTCTCTGAAGACTTTAGGGTCTAGTAGGTTGTGCGTCTGTCTATACTCGAGATGATTGGTGTATCTCTAGTAAATGGTTATAGATTCTTCAAATATACATACATTACTTTACTTGTTCATATGAATTGAGATATACAATTAATAAAGAAATCAGGAAACCATGTGTGCCTCAAGAACTGCTACTGGTTTGGATTTAGAAACTAGGTCCCAGGTCAACGGACCTTGAGTATTGATCTGGTTCGATACATATATTGTGATAGTATACTATAATATAAAGTAAAATTATGTATCAAGGAAATATGAAAATATCACTGGAATGTATAATATGTGTAACAGTACAAAGCTTTAATTAAAAGTTACTCCCTTTGTTCAAAAATGTAAAGCATCTTTTAAAAAGTTGGATATAAAAAAATATAAGGCATTTTTAACCTTTCGAGATATAATCATTGCCTCTTTTTTTCAAAAGTGCCCCTATTAATAATGATTTTATATTTATTATAGGGTGTTTAATAGTGGCGAATATGAAAAGATAGGTAGTTTAAAAGTAGGTAACTACTTTATTGAAAAGTGAGATTCAGTTAAAAATGTCTTCCATTTTTGAATGGAGGAAGTATAACATATATGTAACATTATAAATATTTCTATTATTTTGCACAAGGAAAATATGAATTTTAATAACTTTAACAATTTCTTGATATATAATTTAATCAATTTCTCATTCACTGTATAGCATTTTTTATTTCTTCTCCATAAGTGGATTTTTCATTATTTTGGTTTCAATAGACAGCTATTAAGACATCAATAAATTGTTTTGGGCTTTTGGCCTTAACCTTGGTAACGTGATAATCTTGTTGGTTCATGATATGTATTTGTTATTTGAATTATGTTTCAATGTTCAAATTCATCTATCATCTATCATATATTTAAAAAAAAAAAAAAACACTTCAGCCAGATTTAAGTTTCAGGCCATAAAGAGACAGAGGCTTGCAATGGGCGAATTCCACGCCCCAGCCACCTTTTTCTTGACAAATGTTACATCGAGGATACCTTTTTCTTGACAAATGTTACATCGAGGCTTCCTTGAATTTTTTTTTTTTTTAAATCATTCGCCAAGACAGAGATCTTTTTATTTGATTTTCTAAAAAAAATTGTTAATAAAATTTATTTATTTTGAAAAAATTATACGCTGAAACACAATCCCACAGATTAATGCTACCAAGTGTTCAACATGCAAATATTATGGCCAAAAAATCTATATATCTATACTTTCGTATATAGAATTTACAGGAAGCCAAGTCACAATATTTATAATTATTTTACATACAAATGTTCTAAAAAAGATATAAATGTAATTTAAGGATAGAATCTTTTTTCACTTGGTGAAATTATATAAGTATTGATGAAAACATATAGTTGTAATTAAGACACTCATACAATAAATAAATTTAAGTCACTGATCACCTTATCTATATCCTAAATAGTTTATTAAGCAATTCTTGCTTAGTCTCGCAATACTGGACATTTTATTAGAGGGCTAAGATGGATGCATTTTTGCTTATGAACTATTCTCCGAAGAGTATCAAGTGTCCTAAATTATTTATTGTAGCAATTTTACCCTATCATACTTAAAACGTGACAAATTTTTCCTTGACATTAAATACTCCAACGTTGGTCGTTAAAAATGCTGATTAAGATTTAAATCTACAAAAAATGCCACCTGTCATGCTAGATAGATCCAACTAGTCATTTCCATCATTTTTAATTATTATTTACTTATGTATTCTACTATCAATTGGCCCCACCTACCCATTCCCTTTTGTTAGTTCACAATTTTTCTTATGGTTTAAAATGTTATCCTCCCTCTCCTATTTAAAGTAGATAGTTCAAATGGGCTGAACTTATTTTTGTTTTAATTAAACTGAAAGAAGGGCAAAAATGGAATTTTACTTATTGATGTTCAAAAATATATATGCTTTAATTACTTTTCGAGCGAAACTGTTTTGACTAGAATTGTTAAGGATACGGAGTACTCCTCAAAAAATAATGCATGGATAAAAATGTACCTTAACTCAAATCCACCTAGTATGACAGGTGACATTTTTTGTCAGATTTAAGTTCGAGTCAACATTTTTAATGATTAACATTGGGGTTTTTAACGTCAGGAAAAATGCTGCAAAATTATTACAATAAATAATTTAGGATACTAGATGTTACTCAGAGATTAATTTAGGAAAAAAAATGTACCTTGACCCTTTATTAAATTATATAATTTACCTACTTTTTTAACCAACCTATAATTCACCTAGTTACTCAATTGGACATCCTCTTTATAAAAAAAAAAGAGTTTTTTTCCTTTTAAAATATATAAAACAATTACTCATTATTTAATTTCTTGTGTTACTTAAATTTTTTATCCTCAGGTAATATGATAGAGTTAATTAGCATCGTTGAATATGTAATCAAATTTCCCAACAATAAACAAGTATTTTTTGAGAAAAAATAAATCTCATTATATTTATTGACCTTAATCACATTTCTTATTCCATGTGCGAAACGATTATATACGTTTCTTATAAAAAAGTCGAGAATAATATATACTTTCCGATACTCTAATGAAGCAGGACAAAACAATGCCTTAATTAATTATCGTATAAAGATGTGGATGGTCCTTAACTAATTACTCAAATTCTTTCGTACAAATCAAGCAAACTTTTGGCCTTGGGTTTGCTTTAATATACTTCATAGCATACGGTGGTGATGCATATTTATTTCTTGCATCAAGTCCTTTACTTGACTTGTGTGGCAGGTAAGGAATGAAGGATCGGGTCACATCAAGCATATCGATTCCATTATTTATTTAGCATTCAGTACGTAGTTCATTAGTTCTTACTCTCATTGGCTAAGCTCTATTCAGAGCAGACGCCGGCAGCTTCGACATTACAGTTTTCTAATTTGCAATTTACGAAAACATTTTAACAATCTTCGGCATGGGTCCATTACAATAGATTACTGCATATCATGTCTGATTCAGCAACCTATCATGGGCTACAGATGCCAAACTTGAAATATTTGCAAAGCTGGCTAGCTACTTTATCCAATGGCTAGAGATTATTTTAATACAAGCATAAAGAGATCTTGCCGCTATAAATTTATACCTAAGGACCTTAGTGTTCTCATGTATCTAGATGCAGTGAGACATCCACATGATCTCAACTCTGAGTCTCTAAAATGATTACCATGGCACAAGATCGGTATGCCCAGCTCCTAAACCACCCAGATACATCGCGTAGTGCATGGCCTAAGATACAGAGCGTGGCGCATCATCTGAGAAGTCGACCAGATTTTGCACAGTACTACTCTCCTAAGATGGTGTCCCTGGGTCCTATTCACCACGGCGAACACCACCTCAAGTTAGGAGAGCAGTACAAGCTTTCATGGGCAAAGATGTACGTGGGTGATCGAAATAAGGCCCGAAGTCTGCATGAAAAGATTGTTGTGAATATCAAGGATCTGAAGGATCTATACACTGATGAGGACGCGGTTCGACGCTTCAACGACGATGAACTGGCGTGGATGTTGTTTGTGGATGGATGCGCACTGCTTCAGATCCTGAAGCATCCAGACATATTGAAGGCAGAACCACTCAACGCCAAGGTTGACCAGCTTGCTCTTGTTCGCCAAGACGCGCTCTTGTTAGAGAACCAACTTCCCTTCCAGCTCCTCCGCCTCTTGAGTGATCTTCCCTCCGACACTGACCTTATCAAAGACATGGACTACTTCCTTCTTTGTCATCATTTGTCACCAGAAAAGCCCCAGAATCAAAATAGAGCCGGAAGTGGGCATCATGCGATTGATGCTGATCCTCCACCAGCTGATCCAGTTCATCTTCTCGATGAACTGCGGAGGAAAGTGTTGCGTGATTTTAAATCCCCTGATCCACAGATCAAAAGTAGCGATTTGAAAGAGCTGAAAGAAGAAATCAAAAGGGACGAGATAACGTACAGGAATTTGAAAGAGCTGAAAGAAGCAGGGATTCAGGTGAAAAGAAACAAGTCAAAGGCAAAGCGCCCCATCGACATCACTTTCTCTTCTTCCTGTTTCGGCGGAGAACTGAAATTTCCAGACATGATAGTGGACGACACAATCGCTCCGACATACCTGAACCTGATGGCGTACGAGGCGTGCCCAGATTTTGAGAACAAGTACGAGATAAGCTCGTATGTAGAATTACTGGACTCCTTGATCGACCACGCGGACGATGTGAAGGAACTGAGGAAGGCAGGCGTTCTGCGCAACTGCCTTGGAAGTGACGAGGAAGTAGCGGAACTGTTTAACGTCATAAGCAAAGACTTGGTGGTTCACACCTCCATATACACGTCTCTCAGAGCTGAAATAGAAAAGCATTATAAGAAGAAGTGCAAGACGTGGTTCGCTATGGCTTGTAATACCTATTTCAGCAACCCTTGGTCTATTATTGCCTTCATTGCTGCTTCTGCGGCTCTTCTTCTCACTTTCATCCAAACTTGGTTTGCCGCTTTCCCCTCTCACGGTAATTCTGGATGACCACCTCGCATGGCAAGAAGGACGTACGCTTGCTCCGTCTTTTTGCACTCGTGGCTGGCACTTGGTATCTAGTATTCGTAAAAAATTTATTGGTGTGTGTGATATATTTAATAACACAGCTTTTGATTGGAGTCACTGTATCCTTTTTTAATCATGGGGGTCGATGCAGGGTCTGCGTTGTATGGTTTGCAGCGTTACCTCATTGATAGAGTCATTATTTTTTACGGCGATTTCGTTGAGTGAAGTAAAGGGGGAATAATCATTTTGGATTTTCATTACGTAGTTGCTTTGCTCCGTCTTCGGTTCTCATCACCCAGGAAACATCTGGGATGGCTCAGATTTTTTAATTTTAATTTTATAAAAATAAAAATTTATAATTTTTTTTAAATATATTATCATCAATTTGAATAGTATTGATTTAATTTAAAATTCTAAGTAGTTCAATTTAATGTTATCATTTTTATAAATTGATTATTTAGATGTACTCTGAATAAGTTAGATTTAATATTAAATTTTTTAATAATATTTTATTTTTTTGACTGAAAAGTGCAAACATAAAGTTCATAGTTTACAGCATATCATGATCCACAAATAATTTTTTCATTTTAATAAATATAAATTTAAAATAAAAATTTTAAGTGTAGACCTTGCAAATAAAAATTTAATATTAAATATGAACCATTTAAAGTACATCTAGATAGTCAATTTATAAAAATTATAATATTAAATTAAACCTGTCCAAATTGATAATGAATATATTTATTAAAAAAATTTATAAATTTTTATTTTTATAATTATAAAATTAAAATTAAAAAAATTAATAGTCATATTTTCTTCAATGATGAGCACGCACCGAAGACGGATCCGTTGTTGCTTCTGGGGTGAAAACTTGGGATGCGTGCTGAGCAAGACCAACGAGTCAACCACACAAGCCTTCAAGCGTAAGCAAGCTCAAGTTTGCCCTCATTCACTCAAGAATAGAGTCCATGGCCAAAAATAGAATCCACGGCCACACTGAGAATTGTCTTTTTTGAGCTTGATAAGGATAGCTGGCTGAAGTGGAATCTGAGAGGAATGGGATCGGCATGACATTCAAATTGGAGCCAGCCATTCACGATTAGTTGTTGGGCTCTCTGGAAAGGACGTAATGAACTGATTTTTGAAGGGGAAAAATACCTCTACTGACTCTTTAGTGGCCCAAGTGAATTCGGTTTATGCTAGTAGTAAGTCCAATCTAGCCGATATTAATATTTCTGGCCAATTTATAGCATATAATAATAGCCCACGATGATCTAAACCTCCCTCAGGGTGGATCCTGGTGAATGTCAATGGGACTTTTAACCCAATTTTCAATAAAGGAGGCTGTAGGGGTGTGATTTGAGACCATTCAGGCAACTTGATGGAAGGGTTTATGTTCAATTTTGTTGGGGATGATAGTGTTTCTATTGAGCTGTGGGCTATTTTGATGCGTCTTAAATCTGCATGGGAACAGGACACAGAAAAATTATCCTAGAGTTTGATTCTATGGAAGCACTTGGTTGCATTATGATAGTAGGATTATCGAGGAAATCCAGAACCTGATGAAGAGAGAGCGGGAAGTCAGTCTACAGCACATCCTTCGTGGAGGAAATGCGGTGAAAGATCATTTAGCTAAGCAAGCTATACAGGGATGGCCTAGGTTACACAGATTTTTTATAATCCTACACCAGAGGTTGCTAGGTTAATTGCCTTGGATTTTAATAATCCCCGTCCTTAAACTGGGTCTTTGCCTATCAAAAAAAAAGAAAGAAAGAAAGAAAGAAAGAAAGGAAAAGAAAAGAATCCATGGCCAATCTTTGAAACTTCAGCACGTCAACAGTAACAAACTTGATCTCTCAATATAGACTTGATCGGTTTAAGTTTACTGCCAAGTTTTTTTTAAAAAATAGTTTTTTATTTATTTTTAAGTTTAAAAATAAAAATAGAAGAAGTGGCTTGGGTTATATATTTCAATTAATACTTGAACGATCGATCGGTTTAATTTTTTCAATTTGCGACCCGCTTTTTAGCACTGGTTTGAATCCTGAATTTTTATTAACCATTGAAATTCCATCTTGCTCCTCTTGCAATAACATTTTATTTATATTTCTCTTAAATGATTGAGTTAATTAAAATTACAGATAGGTGTTCAATCTGCAGCCATCTTAGGACAGGATTTTGCAGGACGGGAGGAAAAGGAATTCGAAATGGGATAAGGAATTACCCTTAGTCCTGAATATTATATAAACATATATATATATATATATATATTATATTTTAAATATACATTAAATATATTAATATAATTTATATTTATATTAATTATAATTTCAATACTTGCTATTTTTATTTAAAATTAAAAGTTTTTTATATTGATAATTTTAATGATATAGAGTAAGCGGTACATGTTAATATCTTTTTTTATAATAGATTAATTATATTAATATAGTTTATTCTTATATTTACTCATTTAATAACTTTTGTCTATATTTTATTTTTTTCTTTATTTTATGAAGAGTCACTAGCTTGACATATTTTAACTGAAGAAAAAAATAATAACTTAATATTGTGCCAGGCTTATCTGTCATTGTTGCTCCTATAATCTAAATATTACTTATAATTGTTATTATAATATATTATATATTATGTGTACTTAACTTTAAATTATGCACTTATAGTCATTATTTTATGTAATTTAATAATTTTTATGATTTATGTACTCGTATTATTTTAATTTTATACTTAATAAATTATGTGATTTAAAATTTTAATTGATGAATGTTATTTTCTTAGCTATTCATTCATGTTGTCTACTTTATTGGGATGGTGGAATATCTTGATGTTGCTCTTTTTTTGTCTCAATTTCTAACAAGATGAGATAATTTTTGAGACAAAACAGAATACAAGACAGAAGCTTAGTCTTAATAATTTTTTGAGATGGGATATGAGACAGGAGTATCTCAATTTTGTTCCATCCCGGTGAATACCACTTAAATGAAGAAAGCTCCGCCAAAAGCCGAAAATATAAAAAGAAATCAGGAAACCATGAGCGCCTCCAGAACTGCTGCTGGTTTGGATTTAGAAACCAGGTCCCCGGTCAGGAGACCTCAAGTGTTGATCTGGTTCGGTACGTATAATGTATACTATAAATATAAAGTAAAATTATGGAATGCATAATATGTGCAACAGTACAAAGCTTTAATTAAAAGTTAAAATATATATGTAAAATTGTAAATATTTCTATTATTTTGCACAAGGAAAATATGAATTTTAATAACTTTCATAATTTATTGATATATAATTTAATCAATTTCTTGTTACTGTATAGCGTTTTCTTATTTGTTCTCCATAAGTGGATTACTCATTATTTTGGTTTCAATAGACAGCTATTAAGACATCAATAAATTGAATTGGGCTTTTTGCCTTAACTTTGGCAACATGATAATCTTGTTGATTTATGATATGTAATTGTCATTTGAATTATGTTTCAATGTTCAAATTCATCTATCATTTAAATTAAATGTTATTGTTATGTATAAAAAAAACACTTCAGCCGAATTTAACTTTCAGGCCACAAAGAGACAGAGGCTTGCAATGGGCGAACTGCCGAATGCCACGCCCCAGCTACCTTTTTCTTGACAAATGTTTCGTCGAGGCTTCCGTGTTTTTTTTTAATCATTCGGCAAGAGAGAGAACTTTTTATTCGAATACTTTTTAAAAATTTTGTTAATAAAATTTATTTATTTTGAAAAAATTAGACGCTGAAACACAATGCCACAGATAAATGCTACCAACAGTTTAACATGCAAATGTTATGGCCAAACAATCTATACATCTATATTTTCGTATAGAGAATTTACAGGAAGCCAAGTCACAATGCTTATAATTATTTTACATACAAATGTTCTAAAAAATATATAAATGTAATTTAAGGATAAAAATTATTCTCTTTATTAAAAAATATCAGGAATTTTTAATCAAATCTCACCCCTAATAAAGTAGTTATTTATTTTTAAATTAACCATATCTTTTTATATTTATTTCTATTAAATATTTTACAATAAATATAAAGTCATTTATTGATAGAGTTGTTTTTTAAAAAAGATAATAATTATATTTTAAAAAATTAAAAATATTTTATATTTTTAAATACTTAATTTCTTAAAAATTATTTTATATTTTTAAACTCAGCCAGTAAAAATTACACAGTATACACTTTACACAGACTTTAAAATAAGTAGCACAGACCATTGGGCATGGGACACGAGATAGAATAACAGTATCCATCCATCAGTCGGTCATAGATTTATAGTTATTGCCATTTATTAATAAACACAATTGTAAAACACATTATAAATCCTACTAACAAAGAAAACATTTACTAGGTCAAACGTAGACACAAACTTGTGAGGAGTGGGGGGGGGGGGGGGGACGCACCGATGCTGTGTACCATATGTTGAAAATGAATGAAATGGATGGAGGCGACGGAATTGGTAGTTGCACCAGATCGCTCCAGCGTCACTTAACCTCTGCTTCCTACTCGCACCTACCACCCTTCTTCTGCCATTCCTCATTATTTATACTCTTTTTTTGCCTCCGCCATTGTTTCCATCTCTTCCGCATTTTCAAGTTTGACACTTCGACTTAGGCCCACTCACCCCCTTTCGTTTCCCCCCTTCTGGAACTTTAACTCCGTCGAACTCTGATTCTCGCAGATTCCAAATCCAGCATTTGAAGAAACCGGGGCATGGAGTTCTTGCAGGCGCAGGAGAATCAATTACTTGTGGGCGTCACCCTCTCCGTCGTTGCCATTGGGTTCGCCGCTTTCTATCTCTATTCTTCCAGCAAGAACAGAGGTTTGTTTGTTTTTTTTTTTTTTCACTTTCTGTTTCTCTGTTGCTTCTATCATTGTGTGAATGATAGTCTCAGTCACTCCTGGATGCTCAAATCTGGATTTCTGATTCTCTTCCTCGAAATCCGATCCGCTTGTTATAAAATTAATATAGCTAATCCTTCGACTCATTTCAGATTATTATAAGCCTTGGTGCTTCTGAGATGTTGAACGATTAGTTGTTACAGGAGAACCTTGCTCCGACTAGTTATTTGCGGTTTTTTCCCCCACTTATTTCCTGTTTTTGTTTCACGTTGTTCTGGAGTTGACAATGGTTTATGGTGGCTCATTTTGCGAACTATTCCCACTGGAAATACCGAAAGCAAATCTATTGTTTTCATTCTCCCTCTTCAATTCTCATGAACATTTGTTTCACTCCTGAAACGCCGAACAAAAAGAAGACTTCGAACAGACCTTCTAGCAAGGAACTGCAGATATTATAAAAACTTGAGGAACTAAGTCCTGAGTTTCTTACACCAATTTTTCTTGGTATCTAAGTGACTTGTTTTGCCAACATCTTGCCGTCCACGCGGTTATAGGTTGCTTGGACCCAGAGAAGTTCAAGCAGTTTAAACTTGTTAAGCGCGTACAGCTGAGCCATAATGTCGCAAAGTTCACGTTCGCACTACCAACGCCTACTTCAGTGCTGGGTCTTCCAATTGGGCAGCACATAAGTTGCAGGTTCTGTTTCTCCATCTCATTGTGCTTTGCGCCTCTTCTTTGTGGTTCGAATCGGCTCAGTTTATTTGCTCTGGAGTTATTTACTGTACTCAAATGTTGACAGAGAACAGTGTGATAAATATGATAGGATAAACCAAGTGAAGTTCCATTTTTAGTTCCTCTATCAGTGTTTTGTCCTACAACGTAACAAAGCTACTTTTCAAACAGGGGCAAGGATAGCCAAGGGGAAGAGGTTATCAAAGCATATACACCTACTACTTTGGATTCTGATGTTGGATATTTTGAACTGGTTATAAAGGTATGTTTATCCAGAACCTTGCCTTAATAAGGTTGAATGAGCTTATCCTTTTAATATTCTTATTTGTCTCATAACATTTGGTTGTCCATCTTCAATATGCCCTGATTAGATGTACCCACAAGGAAGGATGTCACACCATTTCCGTGAGATGCGTGTTGGTGATTATCTTTCTGTCAAAGGGCCCAAGGTATACATGATAATAGCCCTCACTGGACTTGACAATGCAAAAAAAAAAAAAAAAAGGAATGACAGAGCCTTTTTATATGAATATTTGATTTTAAGACATAATACTGCTACCAGGGACGTTTTAGGTATCAACCTGGTGAAGTTAGAGCGTTTGGGATGCTTGCTGGAGGGTCTGGAATTACTCCAATGTTTCAGGTATGTTTCTGTTGAAGATGAAGGCGCACACACAGTCAGCCGAGAAAATTTTGTCAAGGGAGCCAAAATGACAAAATATATATAATAATCAAAAGGAAATTAAATCTATATACATCACTAACATAGCATAAATATTTTAACTTATATATTTATATTCAATTCTACACACACATATGTATAACAAAAATAAATATATATCTTTATTTTTTTTAGTTTTGCTCATTAATTTTTTAAAATATAAGAATAATTAATTATCATGTTTATAATAAAATTTTTAAAAATTTCCTTATCAATATAAACTATCATTAAATTGGAGGATATTTCATCTTTCCCATTAGCATTGAATAATTTAAATGCGTCTTTGGGATATAAAATTCTGTTCAATATAAAAAAAATCTATAGTTTGCTTATTGAATTTACTATTTAATTTTTTCAATTGATATGTTTTTTATTCAATATATCTTGGAATTTTTGTTGCAATGCTTTATAAAGTTTGTTAGTAATAATTCTCATAATTTCTTTTATTGAATATAAAATGAAAGCAAAATCAAATAATATCAATGCTTTAAAAGTAATTGTAACATTATTTTGTTGAAAATAAGTAGATCTTATAGCAATTATATCTTCAAGCTATTGCAACAACTGAACTATATATGCATAAAAGACTATTATAAAATTGAAATGATAGTTTCATTTAATGTCTGAAGACTTCTATAATGTATCAATTTAGGAGTCGAAAATATATAATTTATATATTTTACTTAGAAAAATAAAAAGTTGAGGGGCCGTAGTCTTGTTGGTTCCCTATCTCCACCCTTACACAGTGCTTGCTTGCTCATATCCTTGTGAGGGTTATGTGTGTTGATATATTCTTTATGTGTCTTGGCCGCTCAAGGTTGCTAGAGCCATCTTAGAAAACCCAACAGACAAGACAAAGGTGCATCTTATCTATGCCAACGTCACATATGAAGACATTCTTTTGAAGGTAACAAGCATTCCTCTTTTTGTCAGCCAATGATTGAATCCTGACATTTGTCATTAATGGTAATCTGCATATTTATATATGCAGGAAGAACTGGACCGTCTTGCTGCTAATTATCCAGGTCGTTTCAAAGTATACTATGTCCTAAATGAGGTCAGTTGCTAACTTACCATAGCATGTAGAAGAGAACTGAAGTTTTCCTCTCTGATTGTTGTGACGATCTAACTGTTGAGTGATGAAATGATGTGATCTGTGCAGCCTCCAGAAGGATGGGATAGTGGTGTTGGATTTGTATCAAAGGAGATGATTCAAACCCATTGTCCTCCTCCTGCACATGATATCAGGGTAGGAAATCCTCCTAGCAATCTCACTAATTAATTAGCCTCTTCGTGTTATCATGAAAGGAGGGTTATTGATTGAGAGGATTGGTTGTGAAATTTGCAGATACTGAGGTGTGGCCCACCACCTATGAACAAGGCTATGGCTACTCACCTTGATGCCCTTGGATATGACCCTGACATGCAGTTCCAGTTCTGATTTTTCTCTTCTTTTAACATTTCATTAATGGCCAGCCCGGGATGGAAAACAATCGCCATGTGTTTTTTCTGAGTTTGAATTTGCGAAGCATGGGACTGACTTTGAGAGAGCCAGAATTAGAATGTGAAATAATTGATTACTCCATGACGAGGATGAGACGTTGAATTGAATGTATGGTAGAGAAATGCAATACATGAATGTCTGATGCGTTAATGAGATCCCAGGTTGCAAGGAATTAATAAGGATCCAACGGATTATGTTATGTTCTGAATTAGTCAAACAAAGATACAAAAGTAAAGCATCTGCATGAATAATAGACAATGCCTAAGCAAAACTCTTATTCTAGGTTTTTGGAATCCATTTAAAGAAGAAACTCTAGGAGGGACTTAGCTGACTAATATTTTTTCCGCAATAACTAACTCAGCAGTTCCTATCAGTATCTCAACGTCCTGGTCTAAATCAGGGCCATAGGGTCCTTTCCGAAATTCACTGAGGCTCACCAAGTGATGTCAACACAAATCAAAACAAACATCCTTTTAATAGGACTCTTTCAATTTTAAAAAGAAAAATAGGCAAGGCCGAAACTGAGAAATTGCCCCTGATGATTTTCATCCGTTGATCTTTTGAGACAACTTTTTGCCAAATCTCTACCACGGTCATGTTTAAACAATCCTCGGAGGTCTTCACATTTTAAGATTAATAACATCGCTACATTTAGATATTACCACGAGACTTATTCTTTTTTTTTTTTTTTGATAAACACCACGAGACTTATTCTTAATTTAATAATAACAAATAAATTTCAACTGTCGTTTTTCCTGCTTGTTGTTGTTGTTGTTGTTGTTTTTCCTGCCCTGGCTAAAATGGGGGCCAACTGATGTTGAATTTGATGCCGCTGGCTCAAGCACATTACTAATAAAGAGAACATACGCACACAATTTTCAACTGTTGTTTTTTCTACCCTTGCCAAAATGGGGGCCAACTAATGTTGAATTTGATGCCTTTGGCTCAAGCACATTAATAATAAAGAATATATATATATATATATATATATTGAATCTATTTTCTGATAGCTGCCACCTCTATGCAGTCGCGATGTTTAGGATTTAAACCCTGCATTGACAGAGTTGGATTTCCTCTTCCTACTAATCCCTCGGCCTCCCCTCCTTTCAACTTCTTTACCCTTGGATTTCAACTTTAAATGGTTGAGATTCATTGTATTATAAAATTATTATTATTATTATTATTACCATAATAAATGATTGCTTTTTAAAAATAAAAAATAGCAATTAATATTATATTATGTCAGCAAGGTAGAGTCACAGGGCAGATGTAACCCACAAACGTGGAGCTGAGGCTTTGCCTTGGGGAGTCCGTTTCCACAGTCAGTTACACCCTCCCTTTCCCTCGCTCCCTTTCCCTCGCTTCTTCCTTTCCATTTCCACTTTCTCTCTCCTCCCTCCCAGGAATCTGCACATGCTTCTCACTTTTCGATCACCACTTTGCTATCTTCACTCGTTTCTTTTGTCCTCCTCCTCTTCCATTCTCTCATTCTTCTTTGTCCACTGCCTTCTAATTGCTCCGTTTTTAATCTTTTTCCAAATTGGATTTGTCTTCTTTCGGGTCTGTTGAATTTGTTTTGTTGATGGTCTATTCTTTTCTCGCATGTGCAATTTCAATAATGGGTTCACACAAATTTTCCCGGTGAATTCTTCTGCTTTGGCTTTATGCTCTGTTCTTTGGTTCTGAACCTCCTCGTCCTTGTCGCTCTTCTGGTCTTCCGTGGCCTTCAAATCTGGGATTTACGTTCGGGGATTCTTTCTCGTGCCGCCTGATTCTATGCATTCAATTCTTTATATCGTAAAATGGCGGATAGACATGTGTCTTCTATCAAGTTTATGTCTCGGAGGTCATTGTCCTGTTTCTTTATATTGATCTCAATCCTCTTCGTTCTTTCTTGGTTCTTGGTTCTGCGTTCCACGGGGCGTACTCAGTTCGCAGGATTACCCAATTCGAAGATTTTTTCCACCGTTGATGGTTCAGATTCTACCGCGCAGATCCAACATACAGAATCCTCATTCGGAAGCCAAACATGCACCACAACTGATAAATCTGTTTTGAAGGTTTTCATGTATGATTTACCTCCACAGTTTCATTTTGGTCTCTTGGATTGGAAACCCAACGGAAGTAGCGTTTGGCCTGATATCACAGCTCAAATACCAGAATATCCTGGAGGTTTGAATTTGCAACACAGTATAGAATATTGGCTTACATTGGATCTGCTGGCTTCAGAACTACCTAAACCAAGCCATGGCGGTGCTGCAATCAGAGTTCATAACTCTAGTGAAGCGGACATCATATTCGTACCCTTCTTTTCTTCTCTGAGCTACAACCGATTCGCTAAAACTAAGAAACCCCAAAAAGCGAAAAACATAAACAATATTCTACAGGATAAGTTGGTGAAGTATCTGACAGCTCAAAAGGAGTGGAAGAGGTCAGGTGGAAGGGACCACTTGATTTTGGCACACCATCCAAATAGCATGTTAGAGGCAAGAAAGCAATTGTGGGCTGCCACTTTGATACTTGCAGACTTTGGGAGATATCCTCCAAACATAGCCAATGTTCAGAAAGATGTGATTGCACCTTACAAACACTTGGTGGCATCCTATGCCGATGACTCTTCAGAATTTGACAGCCGTTCAACACTGCTCTACTTCCAAGGAGCAATATATAGAAAAGACGTGAGTTCCCCTTCCTCGGCGATTAATATCTTGGTTCTGTTGTTTCTTTTAGCTTTAACTGAGACTGAGAGAATGTGCAAGTGGGAAGATTCTTCAGGGAATCCTATCTTTATATTATCAACCCATCCATAAATGCCTTGCAGTTCCATAATTAGAAGGAGGGAGGCCATATCTACATGCAGCAACAAGACAACTTATATTTTGGTTACAAGGAAGGAACATAGAAATCTGATTTTATTGGTGAAAGTATAAAATATTGTAGTTAAACCATGTTAGCAATAGCTTGAAGCATGTCAGGGAAAAAAGTTCAGTTTTTTACAACTCACCTCTGCTTGACTTTTTCTTTGTCAAAAATTTGTGGGTTCCTTAAAAGATGTACTTAGTTGAAGTTTCTGGTAATGCCCAGGGAGGTCTAGCTCGGCAAGAGCTGTTTTATCTTCTGAAAGATGAAAAAGAAGTGCATTTTTCTTTTGGAAGTGTTCAGAGGGGTGGAATCCAGAAAGCTACGGAAGGAATGTATGCGTCCAAATTCTGTCTTAACATTGCTGGTGACACCCCCTCATCAAACCGCCTATTTGACGCCATCGCTGCTCATTGTGTTCCCGTCATAATCAGTGACGAAATTGAGCTCCCATATGAAGATGTGCTTGACTACTCTGAGTTTTGCATATTTGTTCGCACCAGGGATGCGCTGAGAGAAAATTTTCTGATCAACTTCATTAGAAGTATTGGGAAACAAGAATGGACACGAATGTGGAACAAGTTGAAAGAGGTTGAACATTTCTTTGAGTATCAGTTCCCATCAAGGGAAGGTGATGCCGTCCAAATGATATGGCAAGCTGTTGAACGTAAGGTCCCTGCTTTGAAGCTCAAGTTACACTGGTCTAAGCGTTTTGCTAGATCTCCACCTAACACAGATAATGGGTTAAAATCAATACCTGCACCAAGTAATTTTTGGTGAAAAATATGAATTTTTTCCCCTTAACTTTGATTCTGGTAATCATATTTTGTAACGTTGTTATAAAGAATATTTCGAGTTATGAAAGATGATTTAGGCAATTAGAGTCAATGATTTTTTTTTTTTTTTTTTTGGGTTTATGCAATGAATCCTGGAAGGCTCAAACATACCATTACGCGGGTTGGAAGATGGTTATGTTCTGATACATTTGATTTCTAAAATAATTTGAGATTCCCATAATCAATAGCCAGAGGACGCTCCGGTGCAAACTGGGCAATTTCCCACTCTGAATTTTCCTGGCTTAGAAGTTTCAAAAACATTGTCCCAAGCTCTGTCAAAGTAAACATGATTACCAATGTTCTATTAAGTTCAAACATACTTCGTTGAATCTGTCAAGTTCACCTTTACTTAAGTTGGGAAACTTCAAAATGTTTTTCTAGTGTCCTATCAATTTAATTAATTAATTAATTATGATTAACATTTTCTACCAATTAAATTAATTACTTCAATTTTATAAATAAAAAACCATTATCCAAGTAATTTGACTCACACAATTGTTTTGATTTCTGAAAAAAAGATTATATATTTTGATGTTTAGGCTTGCAATATACTCTCTCTCCCCGCTTCATTTTGTAATTATTTTTTCATAAAATTGTGAATAATAAAAAAATTAATTAAATTCAGCTTGAAATCTTAATTTTTATGCAAATTTTAAAACCACATTTAATGAAGGGCGAGAGAAAGAAATATTAAGGAATGAAACAATGATGGATAATTTTAAAATATATTTTATTGATGAATCATTATCATTATTCATTATTTATCTTAAAATATTGTATATTATAAGACATCAAATTACTAAAAAAAATATCCCAGGGAGGACGTATTTTGGTTGAATTATTAATTATTAATTGAGTTTGAATAAAAAAAAAATTAATCTTTTAATCCTTCAATTTTTAACTCATTTGTAACTCAATCCTTTAATTATGACTCATTGCGACTCGATCTCTCAACTATAACTCGCTGCGACTCAGTCCCTCAACTTTTGATTCACCTATAACTCGATCATTATTTTTTAATTTTGTTAAAAATTTTTTATCAAATAAGAGTGATAAAAAAAATGCTCATATATTATTTTAAAATACCCTCCTCTTGCTCATTGATGTGAGATATAAACTAACATGAAAAAAAAATTAATAAAAGTTAAGGGACTAATTTGTAAGTAATTCAAAAGTTGAGGGATTGAGTAATAGGCAAGTCATAATTGAGAAATTGAGTTATGGCGAGTTATAATTAAAAAATTGAGTTATAAATGATTTAAAAATTGAAAAACTGAAAGATTAATATTTTAAAAAAAAAATTAAGTAGAAATTGAATCGGATGTACTTTGAAGTTCGGAAATAACAGGTAAAAGACTCGGAAAGAACCCAAGTCCGGCCCAAAGCCGCAAAGCCTGCCACGACGGCCTCTGCGTCCGGTGATGACGATGATAGCGCAAAACCCACCTTGAACCCCTTCCTTGTCTCATCGACACCACTGTCTCCCCAGATGGCCCTATCATCTTTACTCCTTCTTTCTCAACCTTTCGCTATTCCACCCAAACCCCACCGTTTATTTCCGCTTAAAGCTCGTACCTTTCTCATACCTGTAAATGGCGGTGTCTGTCTCCGTCCCCGTCGCTTTACCTCCGTCATCTTCGCCAAAGCTTCGCCGGTGGTCTTCTCCCCTAGGGAAGCGTTTGACTCTGTCAACATTGCAGAAGACGTCACCCAGGTTTTCTATCAATACCAGCTCTTTGTAACCCCTTACCACTAAATTTTCCATTTTTATTTTCTTTTGATATGTTTCTGTGGTCTTACCCTTCTTGAATTATAATAAAAAAACCCATTTGATGAATTATAATTAGCAATACTGTTTATTCAGACACAAGCGTATGTGCATATAATGCTGGGCCCAGTCCAGTTTATCTTCTTCATTGGAGGATAAAGATGACTTATCCTGTAGATTTTTGTATTCTTTTTATTATTTTTGCAAATTGATGTAGTTGATCGGAAGTACACCGATGGTGTACCTCAATAAGGTTACAGAAGGCTGCGTGGGAAACATTGCTGCAAAACTTGAGTCTATGGAACCTTGCCGAAGCGTCAAGGACAGGTAACACTTTACGTCATGACAATGCATGATTCTGCATTCTTGACAATGTTAAACGCGATATTTAGTTATATCTTCACTCTTTCTTTCACGTGTGACGTGACTTCCTTTAGATGTTTGTTTTGTTGGGGCACTAATTTGTTTGATATTCAGACTTTTATTAGGCTACTATCTTGATCTTTTTATTTCACGATTTCTGTTGCAATACGCCTTGTGAAGCATAGACTGGAGCACGTCATGAAGTAACTGATGTTATTGTTTCAGAATTGGCTATAGCATGTTAACCAATGCTGAAGAAATTGGAGCAATTTCTCCTGGCAAGGTAAGCTATGAAGATTTAATGGTTTTATTGATCAGCGTGAATTTCACTGCTCTGACTTTCTTTAAACCTATTGAACTAGGATGTATCAAAGCTGAGCTTCTAAATTTTGGATTTACTTCGTATTGCTGATTCTGTATTTCTGCAGACTACTTTAGTAGAACCAACAACTGGAAATACAGGACTGGGTATTGCATTTGTTGCGGCAACAAAGGGATACAAACTTATAGTCACCATGCCTGCTTCTATAAATATTGAAAGAAGAATCCTTTTACGTGCATTTGGAGCAGAGATTGTTCTGACAGATCCTGAGAAGGGCCTGAAAGGAGCTGTTGACAAAGCTGAAGAAATCATTCTTAGAACACCCGATGCTTACATGTTGCAGCAATTTGATAACATGACTAATGTGAAGGTTAATTCTAACCCATCTCACATCAGACCTAATTAAACACTGTTTTATGTTATATTTGGCTTGCATTAGTGAAAACGAAAGCACATATCACAGCTATATTATAACAGGAATTAAAATAAGATGCATGTTATTGAGTTTTATATGCACACATTACAGATCCACTTCGAAACTACAGGGCCAGAGATATGGGAGGATACCATGGGTAATGTTGATGTACTGGTTGCTGGGATTGGGACTGGTGGCACTATTACAGGAACTGGGAAATATCTCAAACAAATGAACAAAAAAATAAAGGTGTGTGCTTCCCCCTCCCTTTGGCAGAGAATAAAGGAAAAGAGATTGGAGAATACATGAATGTATCTTTTTTCTTCGTCTTAACAATATTTTTGCTTGCTTAGGTTGTTGGTGTTGAACCTGCAGAGAGAAGTGTAATCTCAGGGGATAATCCAGGTTTGGATCTTCTAACAAACTTTTTAATGCTGCAGTCTTTAACTTCTTTTGTCTTATCGTATTGCTGGTTTTCATCAAAATTTTGTTTAAGAAAAATTTGATTATCAGCTATTGAAACTATTAGAGATTTTGTTCCAGGTTATCTGCCAAGCATTTTGGATGTCAAATTGCTTGATGAGGTTATCAAGGTAATAAAACAAATTCTTCCTCCTTGGTTATTTGCATTGACTCCCTGCACATTTCTTGCCATGGTAACCTTATTTGCTCTAGTCTCTTTCCTGTGGGATTTCCTTACCCTTCAGTGAAGCTTTATGCATGTATAAAAATTAGAAAAGTTGAACATTTCCAGTTTTCAGTTAACATGCCTTTGCATTGGATAAATTTGACAAAGATGCAAGGGACCAGAAATTAAATGGAAAGGTGGATTGTGATTGCAGAAGGAAGCTTTAACTGTTTTGTGATTTGAAATCAGTTTTTTAGAGAATTAGACGGTGGCTGAAATTTAGGTGAGAGAGTTCTATTGTTGGAGTCATCAACAGGATCTAATTGCGTTACTTGGAGCTTCATCCATAGTTTACTAGACAATTTCAAGTTTTGGTTTGATGTTATTCTATTTTCCATTTTGAAGCAATTTATCTTCATAGTTGTCTCACTTACATAGATTATCTTGAATCAAAACGTTGACCCTTGAGAGCACAGGTTACCAATGTTGAAGCTATTGAAATGGCAAGGAGATTAGCTTTGGAAGAAGGTTTACTGGTAGGCTGCAAATTCAAATATCTTGATATATAGTATCCCATATTCTGTTTTATATGTTTTTAATTTCATTATTATATTTTGCTTGATTGTAAACAGAGGTGGTCTGCATATAGCTTTACAAGTGTTGTGTTTTTGTTCTAGCTTCAGAACCCTGTTTATTCTCTGGTGCAACCTTCTCGCTTCAATTTCCTTTCCTCCCTTTTGGTTCCGTGTCAATTACTTCAAGTTTAATATGCTGCTTGATATTGCAATATTACCGTGATGTGGGAAGTAGCTTGTATTTTTCAGGATATGTATTATTTATAATTGTCTCAAACTTTGGTTTAGGTTGGGATTTCTTCAGGAGCTGCTGCAGCTGCTGCCGTAAGTATAGCAAGACGGCCTGAGAATGTTGGAAAACTCATTGTAGTGAGTCCATTTTTAAACCGTTTGGCTTTCTTAGATGCTACTAGAAGTGTCCCTAATAAGAATATGCGTGTGCGTGTGCGTGTGCGTGCGTGTAGTTTTCATCATACCACAGCTAATACATGCAGTCCGCAAAGATATATCTCTCTGTACATTAAAGTCGCTGTGTTAATCATAAGACTTTCAGCACGAGTTTCTGTTTCAGAATGTTCAATTTATATTAACTTATTTTGGTCTCTACACAATCTCACCCAAATTATGCTCTTGCATGAATGGAGGTTATATTTCCAAGCTTTGGTGAGAGGTACATATCCACTGCTCTCTTCAATTCAATCTATGAAGAGGTACAGAGAATGTAACCATGATAAGCTAGAGACCGGCTGCATGTCATTGACAAATGCTTCCTGGAGATTTGATGATTGATCTCATGGTCTCAATAAAGAAGCTGCCTTACGTTCTGTATAGGTATGATCATATCAACATGTGAATTTAGAATCAGTATTTTCATTAATAATGTCTTTTCAATCCTCTTAGACACAAAATTTGTGCATCAGAGTGCTAGGAGCTGAAACAGGATGCAAAGATGACTGAGTTGATGTACAATACGTCCTTTAGACCTTTCGTTCTTTTGTTCTGGTAATGTGCGTGGCCTTTCATTCTATTCATTTTATTTTGCTTGTTGACCACAAAATGTATGATACGTTGACATGGAAGCTGTTGGGTCATTTTGTAGCATAGTATATTGTATTGGGGGAATTTCTACTTAGTAACGAAGTTTTGGTGGGAAGCCTTGGAATTAGGACGCAGTATGATTCAAAGTCTAACATGTCTCAAAAAGCTTAAGCTCACGAGGAAGACTTTTGTTTTTCAAATTGTCATGTTTCAGACCCACTTGTGAACTCGCTAATTATAAGAAACGCTTGAGGTTTGCTTCATTATGTGATTAGTTCCTTGTTTTGAGAAACATCTACCGAAGGCTCTGGGTTAGGTGAAGAATATGGATTTCGGTTTGACCCGGTGGTCTTATCAAATCACTATCAAGTCTCCATTACCTTAGCATGTCCAAAAGTTTATTGCTCTAAATTTATAGTACGTTTTTCTTTCCTTTTTTGAGGAAAAGCTTGAAGTTAAAATCTTCTGCCAGCTACTTAAATTATTTGCGCCTTAGTTATGAAAAATTGGATTATATTATACTAATTAGTTTTAATTTTTTTATATGCTACAGCAAAAAATAATTTGATTATGGGAAAATGACAATAAAATTCCATCAAAATATATAAATGATAATCAAATGTTTTAAAATGCTATAATTTTTTTTGAAGTCCTTGAGTATTTTTGTGACATTAATAATTTTAGGTGAAATGATTAAATTGCTCATTGTTTAATGGTAAAAGAAATTTCATGTAGGAAGTTGTGATTTTTTTTTAATAATTTACGATTCACAGAATAAAAGTTATAATTATTTACAAAAAGGTTGTGATTGATCATTTTCACAATTATAATTTCAATGATAAAAGAAATTGAAAAAACATAATTTTTGGTCCTTATATTTTACTTGTGTTTTGTTATGGGTCTCTGTATTTTTATTTTTTGATGTTTTAGGTCTTTAAATGAACAAAGTATAGAGGCCTTGGAAGAACTTAAAATACTAAAAAATGAAAGTGTAGAAGTCCACAAAATATAAAAAATGCAGGAATTTATAACAAAACACAAGCAAAGTACAGGAATTAAAAATTATGTTTTTTTTAAAAAAATTTATGTGAGAAATTATTATTTCTTGTTTAATATTTACGATTTACAAAATAAAAATTATAGTTGTTTAAATGAAAGTTGTGATGAGTTATTTTTAAAATTTGCACTTCAATGATAAAAGAATTTTTACTTAAAAAATTATAATTTTTTATTTAATTTTTATAATTTACAGAATAAAAATTATGATTAGTTATTTTTAAAAAGGAAATAATTTAGTCATTTAATTGAAAATTATTGATATCAAAACATTATCCAAAGATTTGAAAGGAATGATGGCATTTTGAAGGATGTTTATATATTTCAGGAGAATTTTTTTTTTTTCATTTGGTTATTTGATTATGAAATATATGCATATATTGGAGGGGAAAACTTTGATTCAACCCTTGTGAATTGAAAATAGATAAATTTAAAAATCAAGTTAACCTTCACGTTACCTCTTTGCACTAGGGGAGTACGCAAGATAATATCTCATGTATGGTGGGTGCCTGAGCGGCACCTGCGGCATGAGATTAATATAGAACCTTTGTTATTGCAGAAAATGATATATATTTCTGAGTTCTGATGGGGTTATTTAGTATGGAAAATATGATCCTAAGTTTTATTCTCTATGGACACTAAAAGAAAGAAAGTGACACGAGAAATTACAGTGTGGCTGTATATGACTATGAGAACCACATGTTATAATTATACCTTCTCACTTCTCTCGCTCTCTCTCTTTCAACATATACGCCACGTGCAGTCAAATTTATGAAGGTAGAGAATCCAAGACTGTGATATACGATCCATGATGATGATGATCTCGTGGTTTAATTTAGAGTAAATGGGCACTATCTTTCGGGGTTACTGGTAGTTTATGCTTGGCCTAATTTTGAAGGCCAATTAAATGGTGTGGTTCAGAAGCAAGCAGCCTGACTTCGTTTTCGACATTATAGTGCTGACGTTGATAATGGTCTATTTTGAGGATATGATTGGACGCAACTTAAATTGCATTCAAGGCCGTGGGATCACTCAGTAATTGGGATATTAAAGGCGTACAGATCAGTCCCAGTGAGTGTCTGGCTTGTTAAAATTCCTTAATAGAAATTAGTTCCATGTTTCCTTGAAATTGAATTGCATGTTTAATTAAGGTAGATTCGGAGCAATTTAATTAATTTGGGGTGGTCCTAAGCTGTTTTGGTTTGTGAGAAAGAGAAGGCATCTTGTTCATGAGGATCATATATACAGTAACTGAAGGACTCTTATTATCTCTCACACGACAGCCATGCAATGGTAGGTACAAGTGCGGCAATCAGATGTGATGGCTTGAATATAATTAATCTAAAGCTTTAATCTCTTCAGGCTTTTCAAAGTTAACTTTGTATACATCTCAAGTAATCAAGATATGATTCAATTAATACCTCTTTTGTCTAGAGGGTTATAATACACCCCTTTTCCTGCATTATTAATATGGCGAGTTATTGAGAAATCTATCATTTACAGTAATGAACATTATATAACTAAAGATTTATATAAACTTTTGCCTTTATTCTTTTTTGTTTTTGGGTTATTTTAACCCCACAGTCTTTAATAAGCAGTTGTGTAATTAATTAAATTCCAAATACGTAGAGTAACTAAGCAGGCTCGTGATGCTTAAATGAACCAAATCACCATGAATTCAAAGGAAAAATAAACACACACACACACACACACACACAGTACTTTTACGTTTTACAACCAGAAACATGCAAATTATTCTGATTAATTCAGTTTATTTATAAAAAATTTGGCACCAATGTAGAACGAAAATTCTGCGCTATCACTACATGCAAGCTCTAGTACAGCTTCAGTTTCTTGCTTTTCAGATGATAGAAACTGACACTTGTTGGTTTCGATAGATATATAAGTGTAACGAGAGTGAACATAGACGACAGTAAAATTAGAAAAGGCAGATAATAAAGAACAATAATGAATGTCTATGGGTTGTCACCAGCGTGTTGTTACAGTGGGAATATTAATGAGTCCGAAAGAATAATGAATAAAAAGGCAGCATGCATATGGAGGAAAAAGGAGCATAAAAAGCAAAAAAGAAACAAAAATAACAAACGTAACACAGTATTCCATTACCCAGAAAGGAGGCAAAAAAGGGGTATGGGACACATAAAATTCACAAATAAATGATCCCAACACCATCACCTTCGTCGTCTTTATCTTCATGTCCTTCCTCATTTAATTTCCAGCTTCTTGGCTTTCCACTTTTGCCATAACTTGGTGTTATATAGCTATACCTCACATGCCTCCTCATCATGTCCTTCAGAGTTTCACACTATTGTGGATTTCTCTTGCTGAAACAAACTAAACGGGGTGAATAGTTAGATTTTTATGGTGAAGAATAGAGAATCCGAAGAAAAACCCCAGGACGGGACTCTTCATTGTGGTTTAGTTGATATATATAAGGACCATTTGCGTACTTTTTCGAAATTTATGAATTATGAACTGATCATTGATCGGTTGATCTGATTAGGCTGCTTCTGTTACTAAAAATGAAATGAAACACAAATCAGTAATCATGAAATACGTGTATAAAATTGGAGTAAAATAAAGTGCAAGGCTTGAATTTCGTGTGGATAAATTGAGAATAAGTAAAGCATGGCGTGCAATTATATTAACAATATATATGGGTGGGGAATATTTGTGTATATACTGGGAAATGGAAATTTAAGTTGAACAAAAAAAAAAACGGTAAAACTTGCCTCTAATAAAAAAAAAAGGTTAAAATATATATTTAATCATTTAACTTCACATAGTATTTTATTTTAATCTCTTAACTTTATAAAATATCTTTTTAATCTTTTAATTCTAATACTGAGTTTTTTTTTTAATAAATTTTTACATTGAACATTTAAATGTTCACAAAATTAATATTTTTGAAATAATATTGACATATTAAATTTAATTTTTTAAAAGTAACAATGATCGACATAAAAAATAATCGTTTAAAACTCACAATATTAAGATTAAAGAATTAAAAAAATACTTTATAAAATTAAATAATTAAATTAAAATTTTATATAAAATTAAGTGATTAAAAATATGCTTTAATTTAAAAATATATATACGTACGTGCAAACAACAGCTGCACGGAAAATAATCGGCTTCATATTTACGCTCACCGTTCATTCCGCAAACCTGTACAGTAGTAGTACTTATTGATTTCTGGGATTATTAAATTGTAAAAACAGTTTTAGGCTATTAAATGACGCACCTCATCTCTAGTTGTCCACTGCCAATCACAACATGCTGCATTAACTGGTCTTCAACATCACCAAAATAGTTGCTTTATTATTTGTTTTTATTGCTACTCATTAATATTTGTCAGCATTATTATACTATACGATATGAATTGCGAGGGCGTGATGAGAACACATGGCTAGTTATGATTGGCTGGAGCTCATGCGTTGAAAACTGATGCAGTAGCAGAAGATTTAAACCCATCTTGTTAGATATCTTGTGATAGACATAGGTGGCTGCATGACCTGTAGCCATGCCTCACCGAAAGATGAAGAAGATCACAGGTTTCCCATACAAAAATTTTCTTAAAAGGAAAAAACTTTGAAGAACCCGTTTTCCCTTATTTGCTTGCAAGACTTTCGTGACACCATCCTGTTTTTGTCCCAATATAATGATATTCATTCATGTTGGTGGAGAGGTTCATTATATTGATTCTGTAATATATAAAATATAATAGCTTGAGCCCTAAGGCCAAAGACCACCGCCTTGCTTGCCAATATATACAAATATGTCTGTGTTTTGGGTATTTCGCCAATATTTTAGTGTCTCAAATTCAAATGCCCTCTCTCTGAAATGTTTGTTAGTAGCTAGCATCAATTAATAATGATCATTACAGCCAATAGACAGGGTAGGTGTTCAAGGATATATAGTCATGTGGACTCGTAATCAATAGTGATTACATTGATAATTTAGCCTAATAATGCACCATCTCAGCCAATAAAGTTTACCGATGACATCAATGATTTTTAGCGAGCACAATAAGCCTCTACGCTGTGGAAAACAGTGGTCACGTCATAGGTTCCACTCTAATTAATCACCTATGGACCAATTGCGCGCGCCCCTCACACACACACATATATAATATAAAATTATGTTCATATATGCATGCATGCTATATTTACTTATAACACATGTATATACTTTTTTCATTAAAAAATATAAAATATTTTCAATTGAATCTCACTTCTTAATAAAATAGTTATCTACTTTTATACTAACCTTATATTTTCATATTTATTCTTATTAAACACTCTATAATAAATATACAGTTATTCATTAATAGAGGTACTTTTAATGAAAAAAATAATGATTATATTTCAAAAGACTAAAAATATTTTATATTTTTTAATATTTAATTTTTTAAAAAATGCGTTATATTTTTTAACGGAGGGAGTAATGTTTTTCATTGTGTAAAAAATACATCAAATTTTTAAATTTCAAGAGTACACCGAGCGAATATCAATAAATTATTTATTATTTGGGCTCAAGCTCAAGTAAACATTTAGTTTTTTTACAAGGCAGTGAGCAGGGTTAATTAATTCACTAAGCTTGCTTGAGATAAATCATTCATAAACTAAGTTACATGTTGAAGGAGAGAGGCCATAACTAGAAGACCCTCATCATATATAAAATAAAAATCCTAACTTTTTTCCTTTCTTTTCTCCCGTCCTTTCCTCTCTGATTGGTCATGTTTTTGAATTGTCATACCCCAGAATAATTATCAGGGATTGATCTTATGTTGCTGCTGTGTCAGAACATAGGGGATAGTTCCATCATCTCTTCGTGGCCCACATTTTCCTCAAACAGCCACTTCTCAAGATACGATAATGGAGGAGCACTACAGCTATCTGATCTCTGCTTATCATGAACCTTGTCAATTGCAGCTTCAGAACTCTTGTCAGGCACAGAATCACAAGTGGACTTGTCCCAAGCAACATTGTTTAGGTTCTCAAACGACAAGATGGAATCAAACTCTTCATGGGACACCATATCTCCACCCTCTTGCTCATCTTTGGCTTGATGATAGAACGCAAAGTTTAAGGCAGCAGGTACTGATGCTGACTTCACCATCGGCTTACTGTTTTCGAAGCTGTTAATGTTGTTGCTTTGAAGCTCTCTGTCTTTGGTTACTTGGAGAAGACTAGTGTCTGTCTTTGGGGATGATCTCATCCAACCTTGCAAGAGGCGTGAGATGTTTTCAGTGCTTGAGGCATAGGTGGAGGAGGAGGACTGAGACTGAGTCTGAGTCTGAGTCTGAGACTGTGATTGACCAAGTCTAAGAGATGAAGTGCTGCTCATATCTAAACTTGTACTCCTGTCGTGAAAACTCTTGGATACAAACTGAGCAGAGGTAGAGTCCGGTGACACAAGGTGGGGGTCCAAGGCTGCTTGAAATTTCTTCAGCTTCTTCTTTAGATGTGTGTTCCAATAATTCTTTATATCATTATCTGTTCTTTGTGGTAGGTACGAAGCTATGGCTGCCCATCTGCTCAACCGTCAAAAACTTGAAAATTTCAGACACGTATCATCTTTATATATATATATATATATATATATATGAAGTTAAACTGAAAAAGACGTGGTGACTGAGTGGCGGTGAGGCTCTGTGCATGTGGCAGAATTTTTTTCCTTCTTCTTCTTTCTTTTTTTCTTTTTCTTTTTGCTTTTGAGCAAACAGAAGTAAGAGGTTTCTGAAGATTACTTGTTTCCTAGAAGAGCCTGCAAATGAATGATCATTCCTTCCTCATGAGGTGTGAAGTTCCCTCTCTTGATTCCTGGCCTGAGGTAGTTAGTCCATCTCAGCCTGCAACTTTTGCTGCACCTTGACAACCCTTTTTTAATCACAGAAGAAGATTTTATCTATATCAATTTAATGAAAAATCTACGATATAGATCAAGAACAAGCCATTATCATAACGTATGTCTCAGTTTAATCAGAGAGCTAAAGAATATGAAATTTGGAAAGAGTTCGGATCTGAAAAGTGACTGAAATTACCAGTATTAGTAGGCACTGATCTCCAATTTCCAGGGCCATGCTCTTGGATGTAAGAAACAAGGATGATATCTTCCTCAGGCGTCCAAGGGCCCTTCTTGATCCCAACTTTGTCACAGCAAGGAGGTCTTCCCATGGCTGCAATCTCCACTCTGTCTCACCCTCCTTTTGTTTTCAGGCAAAACTTTGCAATATAGAAGCTTTCACATGATAGCACTACATGTGAGTGCTGCTTATATACGCGATGGCTAGAAAGTAGAGGAGCCACTTTATTTTTACACTCACTCATCTACCTGACCCTTTTATTGCCTTCAACCTTTAACTTTATTACGTAGTCAATATAGGAACCAAAGTCAGCGAGAGGAGTTTCGGCATTTTCTCTCTCTTTCTCCTTTTCTGAGTCACGTGGCGCCACGGCTCGTCAGCAAAGCCAGGAAATTTCATTTTCCCCTCACTTTATTTTTCTCATAATCATGTCGCTCTGAGGTTGATTATCCGTCTAGTCTGCACATTATTCCCATTTACGTGATTAAAGTGTATGCGTGGGATCCTTGCCATTTGAGCACTCCTTAGTTTACTTTTTGATTTATGAGTAGTGAGGGAGATCACTGACAGAAAATCAACTGGAACCAGTCAAACTCATTACGCAGTTTGACATCATTTTTCAATTTTTTTTTTTTTTTTGGGTTTTGTCTTCCTTATAAAGAGCGTATTGAATGCTGAGTACTGCTGAAATTTAGTGGAACAGCTATAATAAATGAAACCTGCACAGCAGAGAGAGAGAGAGAGAGAAAGAGAGAGAGAGAGAGAGGATCAGTCAGGTTGGAGATTTTGGCAAAGGGTTATGCATTCGAAGTCAGAGGTTGCTGGCTTAGGTGAATTTGGAAAATACAGAAGGCAGACGATTGACTATATATGGATTGTCAGTCAGTTTCATAGCTCTGACAATTATGATGCATGTGAAACACTGAAGAACTACTATATGAATATCACATACCATGCAGAGATTTTAATCGTCGGGCTGAAATGATTAGAGATTTTCTTGTCAAGAGGTCATTGGCTTCACTCTTCTTTTCAGCAAATTCCAGGCACCAGTGCAGAGAGATGACACTTTTCTTTGAGGGGCAGGGAAACCGGTCCTCTTTACCTACACAGAGAGCTCGATTTGTTCGAAGATCAATTTCACTTTTTATTATTATTATTATTATTTTCGTTCGATTGCCGTCAAGATTTTTATATATTAGTAGAATTATAAAATACGCTTTTATAAGTTTTGAGATAACCAAACCAATATCGAAAACAAAGGCCAAATCAAGAGTGATTCTTTAAGAAAGTCGAACAGACCATAAATAAATTCAACTACCAAACAAACAAACAAAGAGTCAGTTTAGAACTACATGGTACGTTCTCCGGTGTTTCGATGTGAGGCTTCACTGACTAGAATAAGGGTTTGGATGTGTAAATCATGATTCAATCGTCACGTTTGTACTCCTATTGCCATCCTTATACTTAGTTCATTGCGGAATACTGGAAAGATACTTATACGCATATAATTGTGTGTCGGTCAACATGTGCCATCATACACTTGTTCCCTATAAAAGTCCCCTAAAACCGAAAAAATCATACAAAAATTTTGAAGGATGTTTTTAATTTGAGTACAAAGCAACAGACGACCGTGCATACGAAGCAAAATTAATCCCAATCAGTAGGTCATTGAGAATCTCTTGTTGAAGTTTCTCTTTTCAAGGCCAAGAATTTTTTTAAAGTTTCTTATTATTATTGACATAGAGCAAAGGGCTCGATCAAAGGGTTTCGATATATTTGAACCTTTGAATTCATGGTCTTCTATTTCTAATTATCTTTGACCCTTTCACGCATAAAAATAAAATCAGAATGTCAATCGTATACAGAATCTAAAGAGAGGAAAAAAAAAAACAATTACACTACAATCATCTGCGTCAAAATGAAAAATTTCACTCTAAAATTCCAATTTGTCTAAGTTAAATTACATTACCTGCCAGAAAACTATCTACCGATCAATAATTCTAAGGACAACGTAATTTAATAATCACGGCCAGTGTGCCGCAGGAACTATGATCTGTAAGCCATCGCTCACTGCAGAAGCAATTGGAAACAGTGTAACTAACAATAAGGCACGCTAATGACTAAATGACTTCTATGAGTAGTTACTGGATGGCCATGCATAAATTTTGTTGAAAAAAACACACTATACAACCGAATCCTATGCAAAAGGATTGCCCCCAAAGGATGCAACTGGTCCTTGCGTCTGGATGTTCCTGTATATAAGCAATTAAATGAGTCAATTGTATGAAAAGGTCATGGTCAAATGAAAAATGCTCAAACAAATAATTTTAACACTTCCGTCCATGGCTACTTAAAATTAGCGAAATAGAGGCTGGCAATATAGACTAGCAACAACGTTCTCAAATATTTTCATTTTTACACATCAATTAATTAATTTGTGAAAAGAAAGTTGGTTTGGTGATGCACATAACCTGTCTGACCAAATACCTGGGATAATTTGATTCTCAACTGTGTATTTCCAGCATTTCGATCAACAGGCAGTGCAAAACTGGAACGTTGACTACGAAAATTTCAAGATAATGACTCAATGCCGACTGGACTGATCAATGGCCTCTACGGGATTAGACATTCAACGGAGGCTAGAGTGTTCCAAGGTTGATATTAATATAGGGAAGCCATGAGGATGACTTCCACACCAGTAGTAGGATCACCACACGCATATTTTGCACTTTCTATAGATGAAAATGTCAATTTGCTTAACTTCCATATCATAAATTAATATTTGACTCAATTTTTTTCTGTAAGCCCCGACTAAATTCTGGCCTTGCTTCATTTTTTTTTGGGGGGGGGGGGGGAGTCAATGATCATTGCTTGTTCATAGGGACGCCAACCCATGGCCCCTTCCAGCCAGAGACAAATTATCTCCAATACACTTTCCTAACAAATTACCCACTATTTTTAGGTAATTGACAAACGACTAACTTGGCCAACCTCTTACATTATTAAAATCTTGTCTCACTACCTCAATCTCAGAAATTTGAATGTTAAAATCTTTTTATTGGAAAGAATGATGACAAAACCGTTAGATTCAGACAAAAGCAGTAATAAACACGACTGTCGTTATATGGGATAAAAAAGGAAAATGCAAGGACGTGATGCAACTTACGGTATTTGAGAACTTGGGGGCTGTGCAGCCATGAATGTTAGACCACCTACATAACGGAACCCAAATCAAAATATGAAGGGCAATAAGAAAATCCAGCCACTAGATTCATTTGAATAATTGCATTTACTTGTGCACACAAAGACAAGATGATTCAAACTGGAGGGAAGCAAGAAGCCTGGTAATGAAGGTAAGAAAAATAAAAGTATTTTGGTGATGTTTGAACTTTTAGTAGAAATCTTGGAAGACTACCTTGTCCTGCAGAAGAAATAAATGGGGTCACACTTTGCGGGAGCCATGGTTCAGCTATACCACCATGGTAACCACCATGGTATGGGGGAGCCAACTGCGAATCTGGCAGAGCAGCTTGCAGTGAGCTCAAATCAAGGAACTGCAGTAGATAAAAGAAAACAAATTAGATAAATGCAGATGAGCATGTTTACCTATCTCTCACAACCACCATGCAAATGAATTACGTTCTAAGGCAAGGCATATATTATAATTAGGTTTAATACTATTATATAGTTGGGGTTATCAACAATAAAAGGATATCATGAAAGACAATTCCATTGAGAAACATTCCACAATTTCAAGTCTATTATGTTCTTTTAATAAACAAAAGTAGAAAGCAAGGTAGTGGACTCGAGCATGCTAAGTTTCAAACATAATAAAGGGACAGCTTTGAAATTATATCCTCTCTGGTGATGTTGATATAGCAGGGAAAGATATCGAACACTTTTTCACCCTTTCCAAACTCTTAAGTTACACAGAATTCAGAGCCAAAATCCACTACTTTCAAGCTCCCGGAGAAGCATAGAGTTTTAATTACTTAAAATAGGGGTAAAGAGGATAGAAATCCCAACCCATACAGCTCTAACACTAAGTCAAGATTCAAGAACCATTACACTCCAAAAGTTTAAAGTCGTTAGGAAAAGCCTCAAGAATTTTTTTTCCTTTGCACCAACCCTCAAGAATTGTTTTACAACCATCTTCAACATGAAGTATCACGTCAGGAAGATCAACAATCACATCCTGATTAACATATATGTCTACTAACAGTCAATCACATACCATATTGTTGTGCTCTGCATCAGATTCATAGGGAAGATCAAACGGATTAGTTGATTTCTGATTGGTTGCATTGTGTTGAGTCTCTTCCTAAAAGGAGACAAACTTAACAACAGAAAACCCCAAAAACAAAAACAAAAACAAAAACACCAATTGAAATAGAAAAGAGGCTCAAGCGACCTAAGGAGCACAAACCTTGAGAGGAAGGACGGTTGGAGGATATGGTAAACCACTAGCATCTGATTGAATGTTATCATTAAATCCACCAAGAGGGGCAAATTCTTGCACCCCACCTTTGGAGCCCTGATAAAAGCAAATGTTCTAAGATTTCTTTTCCCGGAAAACCTTGGCAACTATCATCATATAACAGCATACATGCACCAACCTCAGAAACTTTTGAGCTCAAAAATTGATCATCACTTGATGGAAGATTATGTAGTAGCGACCCTTGATTAACAGCATCTACAGGAAGGTGGGAACCAGGATCTTCAAATGCATTCCATGACTGTTCAGGATCAGTACACAGAACTTGATTTAATTTTCAATTTGTTCCATAGTCTAATACTTGAGGGGGCAGAGAAAAGAAAGCATATAGCATCATGAATTTCTCATGGAGTTTAAAACAAGAACAATCAAATCCAATATCTGAGATTGCTTACTTGAGCATTTGCTGGAGCAATGGAAGCTTGTTCTCCATTTTGCACACCACCACGCCAAGCATTATAAGTGATTGAAGGGTCATGAACACCAGAAGTGTCAAAAGATGGCCACTGCGTGCTAGTATTTGCAGTTGAAAATGGATCAAATAATTCCATCAAAGACTTGTCAGTTGACGGAACTCCTGCTGGAATTTCAACTTGTGCAGGAGATGCTGTGTGCTGAGGGAGATCAAATGTTGCCCATCCTTCATTTTTAGGGACAAAGAACTCTGGAGACTTCTCATCTGATGTAGCTGCAGGCTGCTGCTCGGAAACATCCGCAAAGAAGTCAATAGATGAGGACTGGGATGTTTGTGAAGGTTGATTTTTGTTTGAAGATGGAGCCGAAGACAAAATAGATGGTTGAAACAAATCCATTGATGGAGCCTGAGATGATGCTGGAAACTCAAAAAGATCAACAGGTGGCTTTAAGGAAGATAATGGCTCAGATGCCACTGGTGCCTTTGAAAGATCCAAGCTAACTGATCTTGCTGGACAAGATTGTTGTGATATTGGCCTGGCACACTGATATTGGACAAATAAATTGACAGAAGCATTTATAATTTCAGAATGTTCGAGAGTTCATAAACAGCCTCCAAATACAAATCATTATTGTATTGATGTCGTTCTGTCTTTTCTATGTTCTTGCACACACTTACTAGGCCACAGGCTTCCACTTTCATAAATGAGATTTTATCAGGGAAGGACCTTTTTCTCCTTTTGCTCATACAGGAGAGAAGCAAACAATAAAATAATTTGCACAACAAAGGATGAATAAATTTCCTCTCATACTTAACTCCATATCTACAGGCTCCAACCATGGAGATAAGAAACTAAAGCCTTTATCCAGTCAATTGAATCGTATAGGAAAAGACGTCTTTAATGGAAAATAGCCCATGAGAAATGAATGTTCTTCTAGATATTATCTCGTGGTTCAAACTATTGGAAAGAAGCAAGAAAAAAGAATAAATCACCATCAAAACACTCTCATACGGTTGATTTAAGTTTACTAGGGTAAAAGAATTATCAATTTCATAGATCATCAGAAAGCGCACACATTTTTATTTTTATTTTTACCATAGATACAATTTAAAAAAAAAAAAAGAACTTACCTGTGGATGATGTCCATCTGAATCACCCTTGACAATTGTTTCCAGAGATGTATACCGTGATGGAGACCATACATCTTCACTTGAACCGGCACTAGAACGCTGATGGAATGGACTGCTTCGCATGTCTTTATAAAACTTAGGAGACTGCACAACAGATTTCAATTGTTCACCAGCACCAGATACAGAATAGTCTGAATTTCTTGGACCAGATCCCTCATTAGCAAAGCCCTCATCAGATGCATGGTCACTGAAGCGCCCAGGACTATACATAATACTAGACATCTTCCCCTCATAGCGACCTTTATCCGAACCAGGCTTCCTGGTTAATGCAGCTGCTTGTCTTCCATACCGTCGATCTTCATATTGATAATCATATGGAGGGCTTTGAGAATATGAATGATATGAGCTTGCACGCCTTGTGTCCTCTCCATGGATTCTAGGGCTCTACAGTCAATTTCCAAACAAAGATATAAGCATTGAACCGGAGGGCAATAATTAACTCAGAACTATAGGACTATTGTGTCTTGTTGATTTCACTTATCAGTACTAATAAAGACTCATTTGCCATCACTGAAGTCAAAAGCTGAAGTTTCATTTGAACATTCATATGAAGTATGCATAGCAAAGGAAAAAAGATCAGTCATATCACTCTATTTATAAATCCATTAACATGTGCAATGTTTTGAATTGTATTGAATCCATATTTATATTTTAGTACAATGGAATCAACAATACATATCCTACAATCAACACTACCAACTACCAAATAACGCCAGAAACTCAGCACTTCAGTTTTTTCTTCTAGAAAGAAAAAATACGAGTCTAGGTCAAAGTCAGCTTCAGAGAGGTACTGGTATCACAGAAACATATCAATATTTAAAAATTTATTGCCTGCGTATCTCTTGGAGGCTTGTCAGCAGACCTTGCTCCAGCATATCTTCTATCAACGTACACATTCCTTATAAACTCCCTTATTTTGTCAGCATTGCTGCAAAAGTAAAGCATGATTAATTTAAGTGATTAAATCTACACATAGACAAATTTACTTGTCAATTATCATGATACATTTTTTTTTTGGCTCTTAACAATGATTGCACCTGCTATCTGGCATACGCTGCCTTTGGAAATCCCAGTCTTTCAAATATGTATCCCTTGCGCGCTGGATCAAGTTACACACAGATAAATTCTTTTCAGGATGTAACTAAGGCAACTCCAAATATCAGACCAAAGAAAATGCACCATTTACCTGGTTGCCACCATTTTGAAGAGCTTCTACTTCCTGAGAAGTGAACTTTGCCATTGATACAGACTTAACTCGATGAGTAAACTCACGACTGCATGACATTAAATTAGATAGACAATTTTAAGAACCATGCACTATATATCATGTATGAAAACTAATGATTCTCCAATGAAATTCCATTACTTAACATCAGGAATGAATACTAATTCTGCAAAGGATAACGTCTCACAGTTAAACTACCAGAAAAGGGCTATATAATTTTACACAAAAAATCATAAAGTGAACCAAATAGATGGAACATAATGTGTAGAGAACTGTTAATTATGATGATGTCCCTTTTAAAGAAAGACACAATTGGGAGGAAAATGCTCCATAAGTAAGCATTAATTTTTGCATTAGTTATTCCTGTTTTCCATGATTGTCGTCACATAACAAAAAATTGCAAAGGGAAACCAGAATATTATAGTGTGACAATTTGTCATTTAGAATCTCAGGTTTTTAAATTAAATTTCAGGTTCTAGACACTGCCCACAACAATGCAGACAGCCCGGCCATGATAAATTGATGATTTTCAGACATGGGAAGATCAAATATCACCCAAGCACAACATTTCATCGCTTAAAATGGTCATTTCTTTTTACTACAGCTATAAACACAACAATTAACAGAACTTAGGAAATAAAATGCATGTTATGCACCAAATTCTCAAATCAATTGAATATGATATATGGTAAAAGTATTTTACATATATATATATGTATGTGGATCTTCTGTCTCTATTGAAATCCATGGTACATTTCAACATTAAGAATACAACAACAAAAAACTCACTGTATCCCACTGCATGTCATGCAAACGAAGGTCCAAAAAGTCGTACAGACGTATTGCGGACCCTGTAAAAAAATAAATAAATAACATGTAAATCAAGTGATTAACTGGGAATCGCCTGTTAAGAGATAATACAGGAGTCATATGAGATAAATCCGTAAGATCATACCACCCTGCACTGACAGCTAAGAAGAGGATTATTGCAGGATCAATTTCCAAAGAAAAAAAAATGTTTTAAGCTCCCCTCAAAATCTTGGTTGCGTCACCTCTTAGATAAATACTTATTTTAATGCGCAAATTTAAGCTAAGGCGTTACGATTCTGGGTACCGCAACAGAGAAGGCAGTACCTTGAAACAAAACTATCAAGGCCACCACCCTGTAACACTTACAGGCCATCAAGATTCTCATCAACTACACCACTCAACGGCCGGAGGGTTTAGCTTCAAAAGAACTATATAATAGATATACCAAAAAACTGAAATACATCGGAACCACAGCATACATGCGCAAGCCGGACGAAGAAACCAAACCAAAAAGATGAAAGAGAGAGAGAAATTCGGAAGGCAAACAGGGAATACCAGGCTATTGCAGTTGATACATCTTCGATTAGGCGGAAGCTTCATAAGACCTCTAATAATCTTCTCATTTCTCTCATCTTCCTTTCTGCTCCCCATTTATCGAAGAATCAAACGAAGTAATCAGGAAGTAAAAACCCTAAAAGCGTGATCAAAATCACAGGGCCGTCACGAAATGCAAATTCAGCCGAGGAGCAGGGAAATCAAGCACTAAAAATTGCAGTGTAGTAGTGACGAATCTTGGGATTTAGGGCTTTAGAATTAGCCAGGAAGAATATCAAAGTACCCTGGAAGATGAGAACAACGTCCCTGTTGGCCGAAATCGGTTCACAAAAGAGCATAGGAGGAAAATAGAAGTTGGCATACTTCTTGGTTATATTTATTTGACACCCCAAAAAAAAAAAAACAATACTTTGCACATTAATAATGTATGATCCAACTCAGGGACAGAGGATGGCGTGGCTTGTTTTGGAGTGGGGAAGCACCGGGAAGAGCGAGTGCCAGCCAACCCCAACGTTTATTTTCTTTTTATCTTTTTCGCTTTACGCTTTCGTTTTGTCCGTTTCCAGCGTAATCCAACTCGCTCTTCAATTTTAATACATACACACGATATAATATTTAAAACCGAGTAAATCCGATCGATTGAATTGATAAATTATTGAATCCGTATTTTTACTGATTTAATTTCAAACTGTTATTTTTTGAATGTCTTAATAAATTAAATAACTCATTAACAGTACCTTGATTCAATATGCCTAATTTACTTTTTTGGAACTCAAGGGTGGCGGATTACAGTCAGATTCCACGGTTCCACCTGATACAATTTTAATCGTAATTTTTTAAACACGAGATTGTTTAACTATGCGTCAAGTTAATGTATATTTCGTCAATTAGTTTTGTCCCATCGAACTTTTAATTTATAATGTAAAAAGCTTGTCTCGCACTGTTGACTAATTTGTTCTTCGCTAAACCATGTCGTGTCGGCGTCTTGGGAGAGCCCCTCAAACACGTTATAAAAATGGATTGCAAGCACTATAAAAAAACATATCACAGGACAGGTTAATTTTAATTTGGTCACGTATGGCTGGATTGCAGGGTTACGGGAGTCTTGATTTGAACATAGACAAAATAAGTAACTCCATCATTGCCTTGCAAATGATGATGTTTATATTTAACCCTGTTTAAGTTGAAAAGAGGGTGCCATTATCATAAATACTAACATCATAAACCACAACTTGGTTCTGGTTGGACTTTGATTGGTTCTGCTGTGGGCCTAACTGTTTTGCTTCCCACTCGCTGTATGTCGCCCTCCCTTTAAATTTGAAAGTTATAAACTCCATTGGATGTTAGTTGGGATTTGAGCTTGGGACTATACATGCATTGTTCATAATTTTTAAAAAAAATATAAAAATCACATGGTACAAACTTTGTTGTCCTTTTCACGACACCAATATCTAAACCACCCCTGTTGAATGCATTCTTTATTTAGTCCCCTCCAACCCATGAAAATTATGGGAGGGTGAAGTTGAAAGAAAAATAATTCATCTTTCACACACACACAATGACTTCAAAGGATAATCAATCCCTTCTAAAAGGAAAGGACAGGATATTGCTTAACAAAAATAAGATGAAGTCATAAATTTGGTGACACTGGACACTTGTTATCCAAATCTATTGATGAGAGGTGCATAAAGCTATTAGCCATTTGTCACCTTTGTTACTAGTCTCCATGTTGTTGAACAATATTCAACCTATCCTCTTAGTAACTTCCACTAACTCTTCCAATTTCTTTCCTTTATGATTCTAGACACAAAAAAAATAACTTACATGGTCTATTATGTCAATAATGAAAGAGACATATACTTATAATTATGTCCTTTTTAACAATTACACATCAATCCCATGAACTTAAAATATGTCAACATGTTTTAAATCCACATATGAAAATTCATTGTAAAATAACTATTTTAAAGTAGCTCCATCTAAAATTTAGATATTAAAATAGAGAAAAAAATAAGTGAGATGAGATTCATATAGCAAAAGTAAATCTCTCATTTGCGCTCTCTTTTCACTATATGTCAATAATATTTTTTTAGGAGGTTAAATGAATTTTAAAATGTGGTTTATTTGAGGATAGTGGGATTGCTTATATTTAACTATGAACAAGAGTTTACATTGGAGCAAGCTGGCAAAGCATAGTAGCATACATAAATATATGGTTGCTATTATCTAATCAGTATTCTTGCTAGAATTGTGCTTGATCATCTTTAAAATTGCAAATAAAAGTATGCATATTATGTCATCTATGACCGTCTTCTTCTCTCATATAACGATACACATTTCTTAAGGAAAAAGGAAAAAAAACTATTCTAATAATTATGCATGCATGCATGTATATTCAGTCAAAAGGTTTAATTACATGAATAAACTATATAAAAGCATTGTTCTTCTGACCAAAATAATCATGAGCTAATATTGCTTGAAATGCTAAAAAGTTTGGCTAAATAATAAGAGACATCAGTTAATTAATCATGCAAATACTATCAATCACATTATGTTTACTCAAAGCAATAACAAATATATTAACTATTCTTACTAGATGTTATGTGGCAAGTCAACTTTTGAGGGTCAAAACCAATATGAATTTGTTGTCGCAAAACATTTTTTGAACAAGTTCCTCAATGTTAAGCATATGCTTTAGTGTAATTTATTTCCAGAAGATGTAATCTAACATTTCAGATTCTCTTCAAATTGATTTTCACCATAAGCTAGAACAATTGATTATGCATTTGTTATAACATAGGGTTCTCCTTTTTTTAGGGGCTGTGTTTATAGAAAAATTATCTCAACATGTTATAAGCTGGTATATATTTCACACTGGTTATATCTTCAAGAGCAAGCTCACGTTCTAGCTATGTTCTTGTGGACTTCAGAACATCCTAATGAATAAATAAATAAAATGAATAAAGAAATGAATGGTATCCTATATTTGGCAAAAGAAATTAAAATGATGTATAGAATACATTGAAATATTTACATTAAAATCCATATAGGAAGCATACTTGGCAAGCCACTGAGCATCCATCATTTGAAAGGCAATACAATAAATGTTATCAAATGTCATTTCATCCTCTTCAAGCATCTCTGGAAAACAGATTCTTGCCAAAGAAGACGGAATCCCTGCAAGGAAAAGACTAATTTATTTGAGAAGGTTACTTGATGAAGTAATGCAACATCTCAAAAATTATTTCCTTAATTAATTAAGCTAATGAAGGGTAAATTTATAAATTTAAATATAAATGGATTTGAAAACAGTTAGAAATGGCCATTGGGTTTGGTTTTAGTTTTTGGATTGAGTTTAGAAGTGAATTAAGTCTCCTGGACTTAAATTATAGAGAAAAATTGAAATTTTAGCCCACTATGTTTTATGCTGCAACATAAATTATAGAATCAGCTTTTTAAAAAATGTGAAAATGTCTAAAACAAGGTGAAATGAGTCTGAAACATAGGGAGGGTGATGAAGAGAGTTGCTCCTCTGCTAGGGCATCAACTCTTAGGCATTTTAGAGGTAATTGGAGTTTGATTTTACCTAGTTATGTCTTTCTTATCTCTTCTTCTTCTCTCTACACATTTTGAAAGTGAGATTTGAAGTTGAAAAATGATGATTTTTGAACCTAAGGCTATGGGTCTAAACCCATTAGTCTAAATGAAACTAATAGGAATTGTTTGAATTATCTAAGCCTATATATAGTGGTTTTATATATCCATAAGAGTGGGCTCTCAATTATGGACAAAACTATGCCTTAAAGTGCCATAAATGATGGTGATTGAGGTACATGGCTGCCATTGATGTTAATTAAAGATTGTGTTAGTGTTAGTTAGATCTAAGGAGAGCTAATAAACCTAATGTGGTGATTAAACTTAATAGTTGAGAGCTTGGGGTTATCAAAGTATTGAAATTTGAGAGTTGGAAGTCAGTAAGTTGTGACATTAATGATGATTTTGGGTTGTTGGATTAATGATGATTTTGGGTTGTTGGATTATATATTAGTGATTATTTAAGTTATTGAGAGCTAAATGAAATTAATGAGAGTTAAGAAACTCATTAGATGTGAGATTGATTTTATAGTTGAGAAATTTGGTTGTTAAAGTATGAAATGGATGTTGGAAGTGGTGATTTTAATGATTAATAATGATGGGTATTAATGTAATTGTAAACTAACCTCTTGAAGCACTGGTGAGCTTAAATTTAGCTCAAAAAGCAAGTTGTAATTGAGAGGTAACCTTTAACCTTTCAAAGGTTTAAGGTAATTGAGGGAAACTTAGTTTATATAGTTGAATATTAATTAATTATTTATTGAAATGGATGATTTGAAATATGTTTGCTATTTTAAACTCTTGATGCAAAATTGGCATATTTGAGAATGTGATATTGTTGAAGTATTGCATTCACTTACATATGACTAATGATGATAATTAAGATTATGTGAGTATGTACTATTTGTTATGTGGTATTTGGTATGCGGAGTGGTTTATGTGAGTATGGATATGTGAATTCATGTTATGTGATTGATGATTAAGATGCATAAATCTATGGTATACGTGTATAGCATGATCATTAGTGAGAGTTTGCCTAAGGAAAGAAGTCGATTAGTAAATTCATGTGGTATTGGTAGTGATTATTGGAATCGAAAAATTGCCTTAGCACTGAAAATTAGAATCAAGAGGTAGCCCTAATCTCATGGTTGATTTATGACCATCTTACTCACTTGTTTTATGAGGGACTTGAACCTAACTAATCTTCACTGATTTATGAGGAGGTTAGATTAGGAGTATAAGACCTCATGGTTATTAGTACCGAGAAAAATCAGATTATACAAGTGAGTGAGTTGACCTTAACTCGGTAGCTTCTTACAAGTGGAAGGCTGGGTTAGCCCGTGAAGGGCGTAACCATTGAATAGCCAATGGTTTTACGTCGAAGGTAATCAGGAAGGTATTAGATTGGCATATAATTATGCATTTAGTCCTAGCCACATGGTTGTTAGTATTGTGGTCCAATGCGGTTAGGAGCGTATAGTTGGTATTATTGCGACCCCAAATTGTATATTATTAATATATACATGATTATATGTTTGAAGCCCAATCATATCATTGTTATTATTGTGGCCGAGGCTATGCGTTGTCATACATACTTTATATATGTGTTTATTGCTAATTGTATTCATTTTCGATTGATATACAACTGTATAGATTAGGTAAAATTTAGTTACTAAGTAGTTGTACTCACCCCTTATTTAAATTTTACAAAGCTAGCTCTGATTGGGACAAGGAAAAGGCATATGAGGTTTAGGAATTGGATTTTTTTACTGTAATGCCTCAAATACTTTTGACTAATGTATAATTATTATGATATTGCCAACTAAAATAGTTATATTGATTACTTGCACCATTACATTCATATGTGATTGTT